GAGAGGAGGTCGGCATTGGTGTTGACATCATCACTCGCTGGTCGTCAAGTTGTCTGGTTGCTTTCAGGCTGTAGTTGTAGTGATAGGCTGTAGAGAAGGTAGGGCGCCTGGCGCCATTCAAGAGAGAGAGAGCTACATTGGGTTATGCTGTTGGTGTTGCCCGATTAGGCTTGGACATTGACTCACGATTCTTCTGTATCGTTCTCAAATGGATGGTTACTCGGTTCCATTGTTCTATCTGCTCTTACTTTGACTACTTGGACTTCAGTGTGATTTTGCAATCTAGATCTCTGTGCTTCGTCCACATTCATGTTCCTTGCATTTTGGTATCGGAGCTGGTTCGATTCGCCACTTACCTTTTGGTGCGCTGGCGTTATACAGACTTGGTGCGTTGACGATGCTTCTTCGCAGTTGAGCTCAATTGGTGAGAAATCTGTGGTTGGGGGGAGCTATCTCCAGGTACGTTGTTCCCTTACCTTATCTACCCTCTCAATCTCTTCTTACCGCGAGGAAGTGAGTCCAACTTGAGAGTCCTCTCTTTTGGTGAGGTGTCGTGTGCGCGCTACCTTGAGAGACGACAATCTTCCCGGAAGCATCTGGAAGGAGAAAGGGCGGTGCCTCTGAAGGGCCCTGGTCGAAGCACTTGGGTCACGGTCACCATGCCAACCCAATGGGAGTAGGTCACGCATGCGATGGCTGCTTGTCCATTTTGGCACTTTGCTGCGCTATAGAAGTCGTGCTGGGTGTGCCAGCCCCTAAGAGACGCTTACCAGACCGTCTATAAATACTTCTGGTTGGGGACTCGGTTGATACTGGCTGTGATCGTCGTCCTGACTGCAACGTTAAATAATTCCTGAGGAGATGGGGGCTCTCCTTAAATCCCTCCTGATCAGCCAGATCAATCCGGGTAGTAAGGCTCGTTTCGTACAAGGGTAAATAAGAGTTGATGGGCTGGCTTGCTCGGCAATGACTTGGGGCACAGGGGTGGGCTGACATTACACACGAAGACACTGCTGCTCAAAGATGCTCTTCGGTATGTTGGATTGAGGGGAGGGTAGGTTCTAATTGGTGCTCAACTGTAAACACAACCATTTCCACCATACATACATCTGCAACATGATTTAATTTTATTGTTTTGATTAGTTGGTGGACAGACTGCTAACACCTCACAGACAACTTAGAGTAGGACAGTTGTATACTACTATAGCTGGTTCTATCTCAAGCTGCTGTAAGTGAACTAATCAATGGTAGGATTAGATGATGTGTACAGTCAGTGATAATGTTGTTGACAACCGCTTGGAATGGTAGCATTTGGTTTTCTGCCGGACACAAACTATTTTTAGAAAATTAAGTGCCGGTCAAACATATGCTGTAGTAGGACTTCTCTAGAAGGTTCTAGTGCAGACAGTGTATGCATAGCTCATGAGTGAATCAGACAGCGAGGAGGGTAGAGTTGACGATGGTAGAGTAATACGATCGAGATCACGTAGGATCCCATACGTGTTTCAGTACCTGGACACAAATACAGAGAGACGGCTAAGAGCCGAAGCTATAGCCCGTGCTCGAGCAGCAAGTGTGAGGACAGCAGCAACTGTGCACAAGATTTAGCAGCAACTAACGCAGCAGCAAGGGAGGCAGCGGCAGCAGCAATGGCTTTCGCGGCAGCAACCAATGGTGCCACCTCGTCTGCCACTCAGTTGGGAATGCCCACTGGGTCCGCGGGTAGTTCTAGTGTCGCAGGTTCTAGTCACTCCACCAGTCAAATGGCGGGCTCGCAGTTAAGCCCACTGACCCCACGCCAGTGGGAGTTGAGGGAACTCCGGCAAGTTGAAAGGATTCGCACAAGGCTAGAGAGGAAACTGAAGGAAGCTGCTGATAGAGAAAAGGAGATTAGAGATAGGACAGTCAAATTCGAAACGGTAGAGGCCGACAAAATTGCACTGGAGGCAATGGATGAGTCAACTATGAACGACCATGTAAAAGTGTTGAGGTCTAGCTTGCTGTCATTGCATGCACATGTAGACAGTAGGATGGACTTCATGTAGGACACTTTGGATCAGATATTGGCTCAGTTGCAGCAGCTAGGACCAAGGCTGGCCGCAGTTGCAAGATCGCCGCTCCCTATGTCGGCGTTGATAGGCACCTACCCCCATGCTGGCACACAACCAAGCGGTTTGTCAGCAGCAGCGTCTCAGACTGTTGCTTCTACTTCTTTCGGTCCTGCGGTGGCAGCTACTCCATCACCGCAGCAGCAACCTGTTCCACCACAGGGACAACAGCAAGGGCCATGGTACCCAAAGACCCCAATGAAACCACCTGTCGCCTTCTCTGGTGAGAAGAAGGACGAGGAGCTCAACACATGGTTGAGAACGGTTCCAATGTGGGTAAGGGCAAAGAGGACTTTGCAGGAGGAGGAGGTGATTACTGCTGCATCTTACCTTGAGGGTAAGGCAGCCAAATGGCTAGACGAGATTATAGCGAAAGCTGGGTTTGGAAGACGCATGGCAGATTGGGCTAAGACCATGACGTTAGATGAGTTCACAGACATGGTAGAAGCTCGCTGGCATTATCTGCAGCAGGCACAGATTGCCACTGACGCCATAATAAGACTAGACCAGCGACGGTACAAGTCCGTTAGGGAGCTTACGACCACCGTAGAGAATCTCCTCGTAGTCCCAGGCATTCGCTATGATGACCAGGTCGTATTGACCATGTTTGTGAGATGTCTCTCGGAGAATCTCAAAACACAGTTGGCCAGCAAGGCACGCCTCGAGTATCACACCTTTGAGTCCTTCTCTAGAAAGGCCTTAGACTTAGAGGCTACTCTAGGAAGTGCTCAACCTACTCCAGTAGACGGGAGGAAGAAGAAGAGTCCACAGGAATGGAAGAAGAAGGGGAGTAAATTGATGATGGTTGAGTCCGATGGGACTCAAACTGAGATCGAGGAACTCACAGACCTGTTGGACAGTTCAGAGTACGACGGCGAGGAGATCGCTGAGGGTAGCATCCTCGCCGGAGTAGTAAAGACTAAGGCAGGTGGCCGAGGGAAGGGTCACCAAAAGAGTTAAGGGCAGACCGCCTCCAATCAGTCTAAAGTTGCTAATTGGGTCAAGGCTGGTTTAAATCAAGATGTGTGGCGGGACCGAAGAGTGCGTGGTGCTTGCATCAACTGTGGTGAGTATGGTCACACCCAGTACAAGTGCAAGAACGCCAAGGTCACGCAGAAGATACCTCCTAAGGTAGGGGTACCTTCTTCCCAGGCTTCTAGCTCGGGAAACACGTGAGGCCGGTGGAACTTTTAGCTGCTTCTACTCAAGGTGAAGTGGGCCAGATACCCTCCCCACTTCATGAGCAGGCCATAGCTAATGACTCTTTAGTCACCCTGCAGACTCATCCAGACCAAACCGGTACAGCACCTTAGTAGACCAGTAGCATCTACTTTGGCCAATAAGGAGCGCATGGTTGTCACAGACTATATCAAAGATGTAGTCTGTACCTTCTCCTATGGAGGAGGGGAACTTAATCATAAGATTTTGTTCCTGATTAGCGACGACTTACCATTCGATATGTTTAGGGATGTACTACCTTGAGGTTGCCAAGCCCCAGTTTGACTGGGACAAGAAGGTGCTAAAGCATAAGTTGCCTGATGGAAGAACAGTGAGGCTGACTAAGTTTAAAGCCAGTAGTATAATCGATACCTATGGCTGCTTATGTGCATCAGCATTCTATAACTACTATAAACAGAACCAAGAGGAGGGTATGTACCTAGTGTATGTCTCTAAGAAAGGGGCGGCCGTTAAAACACCCCTAGAGATAGAACACGTCGTTACTAAGTTCCCTGATCTGTTCACGGAGCCCACAGGAGTCGTCGATAGGGAGGTTGTCCACGCTATAGAAATCATTCCAGGGAGTAAAACCCCAAAGGGAAGGATCTATAGGATGGCTCCGGCCGAATTGGATGAACTTCGGCGACAACTGAAAGAGCTGACAGAAAAGGGATGGATCCGGCCGAGTACTTCCCCCTTCGGATCTCCAGTGCTATTCGTACCGAAGAAGGGGGGTACATTGAGGATGTGCATTGCTTACAGGGGCCTCAATGCCATCACAGTGAAAAACGCAGAGCCTCTACCCCGCATAGACGACCTATTGGATCGGGTGCAGGGATGTTAGTACTATAGTAAGATAGACTTAAAGCCCGACTACCATCAGATCGCAATAAGACCTGAGGATCAGCACAAGACTGCTTTTCAGACCAGATACGGTCTGTATGAGTTTGTAGTGATGCCCTTTGGCCTTTGCAATGCGCCGGGTACATTCCAGCATGCCATGAATAGGATCTTCCATGACCACTTAGATAAGTTTGTCGTTGTCTACCTTGACGATATTCTTATCTTTAGTAAGTCTGTCGAGGAGCATGCACAGCACGTTGAGACTGTACTCTCTCTCCTGCAACAACACAAGTATAAGGTCAACCTAGAGAAATGTGAGTTCGGACGCACTAAGATCTTATACTTGGGTCATGAAGTATCCACGGAAGGGATTAGGCCGGAAGATGCGAAGGTGGCTAGCATAAGGGACTGGCCACGACCTCAGACTGTTACTGAGGTCAGATCTTTCTTAGGAATGTGCGGCTACTATAGAAACTTTGTAAAGAACTATTCTACAGTCGCCTCTCCTTTGACTGAWCTAACTCGACTTGACACGCCGTGGGACTGGAGTGATGAGTGCGAGGCTGCTTTCAAACGATTGAAGCATGCACTCATGAATCATGAGGTTCTCATGGTGCCCGATCCTCAGAAGCCATTCATTTTAACCACTGACGCAAGCCAATATGGCATTGGCGCAGTGCTGGCTCAACAGGATGGGAAGAAGTTGAGACCGATTGAGTATATGAGCAAAAAGATGCCATCTAAGAAACTGGCAAATTCCACCTATGAAAGGGAACTCTATGCTCTCTACAAAGCACTTGTCCATTGGAGGCACTTCTTGTTGGGACGGTTTTTCTACTCGAGAACTGACCATCAGACCCTCAAATGGATCAAGACTCAACCGGCTCTTTCTGATGCACTCAAGCGTTGGATTGAGGTCATAGATCAGTATGACTTCAAGCCAGAGTATCTGAATGGAGAGTACAACAAGGTTGCAGATGCGCTGTCCCGTAGAGCAGACTACCTAGGTGCGCTAGTTTTTGAGTTTGGTGTATCTGAAGAACTAACTCAATCGCTGGTGCGAGCCTAGCAGGAAGACCCTGTCACGATGGACATCATACGCAAACTTCAGGCTAAAGACAAGGCCACAGAAGCTGAGTTTGTGATGGTGGACATGATTCTCTTTCTTGATAAGGCCGGATTTAAAAGGTTAGTTGTTCCATCTAGCGAACGTTTGCGTAGTTTATTCTTAGGAGAATGTCATGACGCAACCGGACGCTTTGGCTACAGAAAGACGAGTGCCAATCTAGTACAGCGATTTTGGTGGCCCGGAATGCTAGAAGATGCAAAGAAGTATGTTGAGACATGTCAGGTCTGTCAGCGGGACAAGCCGCGAACTCAAGCATCGCTTGGGTTGCTGAAGCCCTTACCTATCCCCGCTGGCCCAGGACAAAGTGTTTCCATGGATTTCATGGACACCCTGGTGACCAGTAGGAATGGCAAGAGGCACATCTTTGTCATCATAGACCGATTCGCCAAGTACGCTAGACTAATTGCCATGCCAGAGACCGCAAGGACTGAACACGTCATCAAGTTGTTTCTAGACAACTGGGGGCGTGATTTTGGTTTACCAAAGTCAATCGTTAGTGACAGAGATTTCCATTTCACAAGTGAGCTCTGGAAGAAGAGTGTTGAACAGATGGGCAGTCAACTTCAAATGACTTCAAGAAATCATCCGAAAGCAAACGGACAGGCCGAGCAGATGAACAAAGTTGTACAACACTTGCTGTGGCATTACATCAAGCCCAACGAGGATGATTGGGATGAGAAACTGCCTCTCATCGCCAGCCTGTACAACAATGCCGTACACAGCAGTACCGACTTCAGTCCTAACCAGCTACACTTGGGATGGAGGCCTAGATTAGCACTGGACTTCCTCCTGCCTGAAAACCGATCCTCTGCAACTCCAGGCACACTTGAGTACGGTGTGCAATATGAAAAGTTGCTGCAGCAAGCTGTCGAGCATATCAAGAAATCTCAGCAAGCAATGATTGCTTTTGAGAACAAACATCGTCGGCAATCCTCATTTCAGGTAGGGAAACGTGTCTGGGTCAAGGCTAGTGAGCTAGGACAGGAATTCGGAATCTCTCGCAAACTAATGCCTCAATATTTTGGTCTATGGGAAGTCCTGGATATAGTTGGGGATGAGATGGATGGTCCTACCTATGTTATCCGTATTCCTGGTCACTTACGCACTCACCATGTCTTTCACGCCTCAAAGCTTGCACCTTTCGCTGAGATAGATCAATTCCCTTCAAGGAGATCGATGCTGCCCCCAAACCATGGATGGTCAAGTGGACATCGACGACATTGTGGATCACAAAGACCTGCCTGTTCCAAAGCCACTGGGAGAGGAAGACCTCCCAAACCCAAGAGAGAATATCGCGTCAGATTCATGCATCATACGGATCCAAAAGAAGATAGGTGGTTTACCAGAGAGGAACTGATTGACACAGCTCCTCAAGTGGTGGCAGAATATGAGAGGATGTTAAAAGGGAAGGCAGCTGCGAAGTAAGCATCTCAGTGGACTTTTGAAGCTAAGGGGGATGGAATGTGAGGATTGAGCCCTCAAAGGGGCCTTGCCGTGATGTACATGTTCTGGGTTAAGGCCCCAGCAAGCCTCGTGCCCGCCCTAAGTGAAGGCGGGCCAGCAAATCAACAAGAGCCCTTTGTTCAAACATTTCACGAAGTGGGGTCCATACAGTTGCCGCACGCCAGTTGGTTGGAGTGCACCGAGTATCGGAACTCTGCAAATGCAGAAATCCCAGGGCCCCAGAATTGGTTAGGACCTGGGCACATAAACGTGAGGCCGACAATGCATGCTGGATATAGAGGCCGAAAATGCCAATGGGAAACCGGTCCACTATCTGAATCTGGCCGCAGGCCTTGATGAAAGGGGCGCAACTGCATCTCCTGGGCCCCAAC